TATTACACAGAACCCCCACATTTAACCTATCCCCAGATAGCTCGGATCTGAGCGCCCAATCTAGGTGAACAGCGCTCAGATCCCATGAACAGAGTAGATTTTCCATGGGGTAAAGCATAGCAAGGGCTGTTGAGAAACCAAGGAGGGACAAAAGCAGTCAGTTCCAACTGGTTTGGCAGTGTGCCTGGGACAACGCCCTGCTGGAGAACAATAGACAGGAAACGGGGGAGGGGAAGAAACACACCTTCCCATGGATTCAAATTGGAAGAAACTGTCTTTAGAAGCCAATAAGCCCCAAATAGTCTTTTTAAATGGCAATACACCCCAGGGCCATAGTCATGAGGAAGGAGGCTGGCAATCAGGCTCCTCCAAAAGCCGGGGGCAAAGGGCAGCTTGTCACCTAACAATCCAGGGACAAAAGGCATTTCGTCACAGCAAGTATAAAATATAAGATACACCTAAAAAATAAAGGCAGAGAAAAATTCATAGGGCAACACTATATGATGAAAAGTGGCCCCTTGGTAATAATAATACACTCACAAAATGTACGGATATTTTGAGCCCATCAAGGTTTAAATATCCGTACATTTTGTGAGTGTATTATTATTACCAAGGGGCCACTTTTCATCATATAGTGTTGCCCTATGAATTTTTCTCTGCCTTTATTTTTTAGGTGTATCTTATATTTTATATTTGCATTTTGATGTCGTCCAGGTATGTGCAGGTATAATCCTGGAGGCCATCCAACAGCCGGTCCACCATCCTCTGGAAAGTGGCTGAAGCTTTCTTCATTCCAAATGGCGTTACCTTAAATTGGTACAAGCCAAATGGAGTGACGAAGGCAGATTTCGGGACAGATTCCGACACCAAGGGAATCTGCCAATACCCCTTACACAAACCTATAGTAGTGAGGTACTGGCCCCAAACCACTCTGTCTAGGTATGGGTCTTGGGCGGTTGGTCTATTATTCAGTCCTGGACCTCTGTGGGGAGCCCATGGTAGCAGTGCTTCAGTAGGAACAATTGGAGTACTTCCTCAGGGATTTGGGCATGCTGGGACTGCATACAGCTTTTGGCTGACTTGCTCAGGCGACAAGCCCACTTGACATGCGAGCCTTGGGGCCCCTTCTTCGACTCTGGGGTAATGGCATAGCTAGTCAGCAGTATCTGCTTCACAGCAGCATAGTTCCACAGATCGCCCTCGTGCACGGCCCGGTAAGCATCTGCAGCCTTCCCAGAGAGCTTCCTGGCCAAAATGGAAACCCACTGACGTGGAGAATACCTTTAATGGTCGCAACCTTTATGGGAAGTCTGGTGAGAAATAGACCGTGTATGATTCTTGTCATTTGATATTAACCACTAAGTACTGTTTACTGAAGTGTGCTCAGGATTAATTACATGAATTTCCTTGTTCCTACATGTGCTCACAATATAATGTCCTTAAAGAGACCTTAAAGAGATCTTAAAGAGACTCGGTATTGCAATTGCTGCTGATTGCCGATTATAACGGACTATAGTAAACTAATTGGAAGTTAACTGTTTTGCTCTAAGAGAATACATGAAAGAACGCTTAACCTCAGCGTGAAAGACATCCATTTAGTAAATTATTTTGTTAAAGAAAAGGAAAGGAAAATAAGTTTCTTCCTTTATTCCTCTTTTCGGATGCTGTTGTTCCAGCACACAGGTCTTTTAAAGGCATATGACATCTTAAAAGCTGATCATATTATAAAGAAATCTAAACTCAGCTTTTACTGAATGTAAGGCTTTATAAAAAAAAAAAAAACACACGAATGGGCGCCCTGATATAAGGAAAAAGATCAGATAATCTAGGGGGAGTGAATCAATAAGGGGAGTGAATCAATAAGTTTCGAATTTATTAAAAAAAAGAAAAAAAGAGAAAAGAAAAGAAGAAAGAAAGCAGAAAAAAAAAATCTAAAGCCATCTTATTCAACTTATTGAATATGTCAACTAGACGGAACCAAGAACAAAAATCGATCTTAAATAAAGAAAAGGAGCACAAAGAGGAGTGAGAAAAAGGATACTAAAACAGAAAAGAGACTTTCAAATTACTTTGTACCACAAATGGATAAATCTTCAACAGAAATGCCTATAAAGGAAATCAGTGCCATACATGGGGAGAAAAAAGCAGTACATATAGAAACATCACAACTAGGAAATCCACAGGTTACGCCAGAGTTCCTAAAACATTGTTTAGACCTGCAAGTTTAAGCAATAAAACAAGAAATCTTCAATAATAATGCGGATCTTAAAAGGGACATCAAAGAGATTGGCCGAAGGATTAATTTAGTTGAAGAAAAATTAGATCATACAGATCTTTTAATTAAAAATCAACAAGAAGAACAAGAAAAACTACAACAGAAGATACAAGATCTAGAAAGGAAAATAAATACACTGGAAGATAGATCAAAGCAATACAATTTGAGATTAAGGAATATTCCAGAAAATATTACCCAAGACAAATTTAAGGACTTTTGAAAATTGTATTTTTTAGAGTTAGGTATCCAGATTGACAAGAAATACAAATTTCGAGAAAGATGTCACAGAATTCCAAAACCAACTAATCCGAATATGGAAACACCAAGAGATGTTATATGTTGTAATTCCTACATATTTAAGGAAGAATTGAGAAAGGCATCAAAGCAAGGAAGTAATAAAGAGGAGTATCTGAATATCAAGGTTTTCCCAGATCTGTCTTATGAAACAAGGAAGAAAAGATGGATATTCGCTCCAGTGACTGAGATTCTAAGAAAGAATAATGTTAAGCATTTTTGGAGTTTCCCAGCAAGACTTTTAATAATTCATGAAGCTAAAACTAACTTTTGATAATCTTGACTATGCTAAGAGCTGGCTACAGTGGTGTAACGGCACCCCCGGGCACAAAAGGGGTTAAAAGCCGTTTAGGAGATCTTCCCCTTCCAGAGACACAGGCAGCTACTGAAGACACCAATCCAACGAACCGGAGAAGCATATGAATGCCGTAAACATACGAATGCTGTAGACAGCCGAATAGGAAAAAAAATACGAATAGGTTTACACTCCTAGCAGTCAAACTGGAACAGCATACAATAAATCCCCCCAAGAACGAGACAAGGCTCCGTTTTGAGGGTCAAGCAGGAACAGATAGAGCTGTAGGTTTATTGGTCTTATATACACATTAGTACCACCCACAGGGTTTTGGAAAACAACCAATAAACACATACAATACACTCAGACACTCCCACACAAAATCCTCCCCTTTGCCTGTGATACAATTACCTTACACAATGGGTAATGTAATTATCACCGGCAGAGAAATACAGTTTTTCCACATTATTTATAACTTGAAAAGTATGCATCACATTCACGTAATTGGGAAGTAATCCAATTATCTCCAAGGACAGAGGCAAACCTCCATTAAGCACATGGCAGTAAAAAGACAGTAAAATACAATAAAACACACAAGGTTACATTATTACATAAAATACAGACATGCAACTTATCCCCAGATAGCTTAGGTCTGAGCACACATTATTACTGAATGGCACTCAGACCACACACATACAGTTGAATTGCCACGGGGCCAAAGTCTTTCCCATAGTCTTTCATTATACGAATGGACTCCATGGCATAGCTATCTGGGGTATCACCGCTCAAACAGGGCAAGCACCAAATGACCCGGCTTTTGTGTCTTTGCAGGGGAAAATCAAGCGTTTCAACATGGGGCCATAGTCTAAAGGCAGCAGGCAGGCAACCAGGCTCCTCCAATGCACAGTGGCGAGATTGGTCTCGTCACAAGGGGGTCTATAAATAATAAGGGTCATCATGGAAGGAGAGATTAATATTTTACACCAATAAGTGAATGTTGAAAACAGGGAGACTTTTTTTTTTTTTTTTTTAGAAGGGGAGGGGAAGAAAAAAAAAAAGAAGAAAAAAAAAAGAAAATGTATTCAATTTTGTAATAGGTAAATGCACATAAAAGAGAACACAAATAAGTTTTTCAAGATAACAAAAAGGGGAAACATCTACCTATAATATAAGAAGTTCACAAAAGATGAAGTAGGCACGAATGAAGATTGTTTGGGAATAAGTATATCTCTAGACACACGTTTAACTATAAAATAAAGATATAGCATAAGTATTTGAAACGCTTACACTATAAAATTAGATGTATTTATTTTTGAAAGAAATATTAAATATCAACAATAGTGCTCACAGGGATTGATTTATGTCTACGATTTATACAAATATATTAAATTTTGTAATAATAGGTACAAGCACATAAAAGAGAACACACAAATAAGTTTACCAAGATAACAAAAAGGGGGAAATCTACTTACTATAATATAAGAAGTTCACAAAAGATGAAGAAGTAGGCAAAAATTAAGATTGTCTGGGAATAAGTATATCTCTAGACACATGTTTAACTATAAAATAAAGATATAGCACAAGTATTTGAAACTTGTACACTATAAAATTGTGTGTATATATATAAATAAAACAAGAGGGGGTTGGCTACACTCACCTTAACATGCACAAATGGGGGTGCCGCTGGGGGCCAAATAACACAACACACAAGATCCAGCGCACTCACCTATCCACTAAACAGCAACTTCAATGTTGAAAGATTTTATTTGTTTTTTTTAAAAACACCTAATCTAGGCAAAAATAATGGGGGTTTAGTTACATTATATGATCATACATTGCATAAGCCTGCCACAACGTCAATGTACCCCATCTTTGGCAGGTCCTACACTAACAGCCTAATGTCTGCTCTTATGAGATTAACCTACTTGGGGAAAAAATTCCATCTGGGGCTCTCTGCAGTACAAGGCTAAATAGGGCCCTGGGATGAGGCACCTGTGACAGGGAGGGGTGCAAAACCAAGGAGTTGGCTAGACTCCCAAATATATATAAAACAAGAGGGGGTTGGCTGCACTCACCTTAACATGCACAAATGGGGGTGCTGCTGGGGGCCAAACAATACAATACACAAGATCCAGCGCACTCACCTATCCACTAAACAGCAACTTCAATGTTGAAAGATTTTATTTGTTTTTTTAAAAAAAAACAAATAAAATCTTTCAACATTGAAGTTGCTGTTTAGTGGATAGGTGAGTGCGCTGGATCTTGTGTGTTATATATATTTTTTTTTTATAAAGGAGATAATTGTAAGTAATAAAGGTGGAATAGGAGTAAGAAATAGAAAATGAAAAGGTTAAAGGAATGATCTACCTCGTGTATTATAAGATGGTTACTCACTCAGGTTTTTTTTTTATAGACCACTGTAGTTGAATGCATATATTGCTAATCCGCAAGTCTTATTAGGCAGGTTCTTACCCCCAGATAACTCCATAGTATTCTGGAGTTTGGTTCACATACCCTGGGTTTTTGGATGTGTTTTTTTGATCTTCACTCATGGGGAGTGGAGATTGATTTTTGTATTGGTGTGGTGGAATGCCTCATGTTTATTTTACATGAAGCTATATGTATTTGATTGTTGTATATGTTATGTATGTTTTTCTATGTATAATGATGATAGTGCTGAGAGAGAAAATCGTGAGGTATATGATGATACCCTATGTTTAAAATTATGACACTAAATGCACAGGGACTAAATAACCCAAACAAAAGAGCCATGGTATTTCAATACATTAAAAAGGAGGGAGCGAAAATATTATTATTACAAGAGACCCATTGGCTAAAGCAAGATATAAATCGCTTCATCCCAAAGAACTTTAATATTCAAATTTGTTCTTCATTAGAGGGAAAAAAAAAAATGTGGAGTCGCCTTTCTAGTCACAAATGATTTAGATAGTCAAGTTACTTATCAAGATATAGATGAAGATGGAAGGTATGTGTTAGTAATATGTAAAATACAAAATGAAGAATTTACTATCGCCAATATGTATGCACCAAATGTCAATCCCGTCTCGTGTATACAAAAAGTGCTGATTAAATTAGATAAAATTAAAAAAAGGCAAGATGATTATATGGGGAGATTTTAATTGCATTATAGATGGAATGTTAGAAACTCATTAGCAGGGGTTATACAAGATAAAAATGGTAAGAAAATGTCAAATCAATTATCATGTTTAATACATAAATATGGATTACTGTATCTATGGAGGATTAATCACCCCCTAGAAAAAGATTACACCTGCTTTTCTAAAGACCATTGTACATATTCCAGATTAGATTTGTTTTTAGGGTCTGTAGAGGTCTCATACAGGATAAAGAAGGTTCTTATTCAGAAATTAACTTGTCAGACCATAATCCCCTTATATTAGATTTTGCTATAACTCACCATTGTGACATGCTAAAAGAACTAAACTGGCTGTCGCTGGAATCCAGACGCAACCTTCATCTTTCCAGCCTTGTGTTTAAGAGCTTTTCTGGGGAACTCCCACTCTACTGGAACACAATGCTTTCCCCAGCTGTTCCCACTTTCTATAAGCTCCGATCCAGTACCAACACTTTATTTAGTTTACCTCAATACAAAAAGAAAGTAGCCCGATCCTCCTCCTCCTACAGAGCACCGCAATTGTGGAACGACCTCCCGCACAATTTAAAATCTTCCCTAAGCCTAAAGTCATTTAAGAGATCCCTCTCTACATACCTCAAAACAGAATGCACCGGTCATGGTTGATTATATATCTCCTGCCTGTTCTCTGTTACATTTTGTATTTATTGTGTATTAATATTGTTTTTGTATTTTATTGTACCCCAATTGTAACAATGCAATGATTTGTGGACCCAGAACATACTTGAAAATGAGAGAAATCTCAATGTATCTTTCCTGGTAAAATATTTTATAAATAAATAAATAATAAAATAAGGAATAGTTGGAGATTAAATGATACTTTACTAAAAAACGCTCAAGATATTGAAAACATAAAAGATTTAACAAATTGCTGTATTTGAAGATAATAAAAACAAAGGTACTTCAGATGCAGTAGTTTGGTATACATACAAGGCAGTCTTGAGAGGACATCTTATTAAAATGGGCTCAATTAAACAACAAAAAAAATATATGGCAGCCCTGTTGTCAGAATTATATATTTCTCTTTATGATCTAACAAAATTTAACAAAAATAATCCCTCTATACAAGTAAGTGAAAAATAACAATAAAGAATACAATTAAATATTATTTCAACAAACCTCAGAATACAATTAAATATTATTTCAACAAACCTCTTACAAACAAAGTTAAAGGTAAAAAAAAGAATATGCTAATACAAAAAATTATTACTGAGGAAGGGTTACAATTACCTCCAGAAAAAAAAGGTAAAGCATTTAATACCTTTTACCAAAATTTATATAACTTGCCCAATAAAGCAAATAACCCAGAAATATATTTTCAAAATAAAAGGTTTAATAAACTTTCGGCTGAACAACTGAAACTTATTAATGGTCCTTTCTCAGAAATAGAGATCAGGAAGGCAATAGATTTGTTAAAAAAAGAACAAAACCCCTGGTCCGGATGGGTATTCTAACTTATTTTATTAACAGTTTAAGGAAGTCTTGGTATTACATCTTAAAGATTTGTTTTAACAATATAGTTAAGGGAAAAGACATACCTACAGAAATCTTATATGCAAACATTATCCCTATACAAAAAACAGATAAACCTATGGAATATGTAAATATCCTTATTAAATTTGGATATAAAAATCTATGCAAGTATATTAGCAAATAGACTACAAACTGTCCTTCCGCTCTTGATTTATAAAGACCATTTATGAAAGATAGATATTCTAATAATAGTGTAAGAACCATGATCGATATTTTAGATAACATCCATGTGTCTGGAGTCCCATTTTTGGCTCTGTCACTTGATGCAGAGAAGGCCTTTGACAGGGTGAGGTGGGACTTCCTAAATGCGGCTATGAAGGCCTTTGGTTTTGAGGGCTGGATTTTGGATGCCATCATGGTTTTATATAGCTGCCCGATGGCTAGAACAATTGGGAGAGGCATAACATCAGAATGGTTTAAAATAAGTAATGGAACCAGACACGGTTGCCCCCTTTCTCCGCTGCTATACTTGTTATATATAGAACCTCTAATATGTGATATCAGACAAAATGAGAAAATTAAAGGAATTAAAATAGGCCAAGAAGAATATAAAACTCTACTTTACGCAGATGATGTATTAGTTACTATATCAGATCCCACAACATCTATTGGTGAGTTATTAAAAGTTGTACTGGAATATGGACAATACCCCAGTTTTAAGCTAAATGTAGATAAAACCACTATCCTTGCTAAAAACCTAAGTAAGGAAGAGAAATAAAAAATTAGAGCAAAATATTGCTTTGTATGGGCAAAAAATATATACAATATTTGGGAATAAAAATTTCCAGTAACCCCAATAGGATATTGGAACACAATGTGTTACCTCTGTTGAAACAAATCAATAAACAATTAAAGATTTGAGAACCGCAGAGATATCATGGACAGGTAGAATAAACGTAGTAAAATCTTACTTGATTGCCAGATGAAATTATATATTTCGTATGTTACCTTTGAAAATGCCCAAACCATGGCTCACGATGATTCAATCGGCTTTAGGAAAATTTATATGGTTGGGAAAAAAGACCTAGGGTTAATAAAAAAAATACTTAATTTGAAACCTAAAATAGGAGGGATGGGTGTGCCAGATGTTACAGAGTTATACAAATCTTGCTCTCTGGCACACATCATATCCTCTATCAAAGAAAGCTCTAAGGGGGAAGCCTGGGCAAAAATAGAGGCTAAGAGATCGAAAGTCCCAGACTTATTGGCTCTATTCTGGAAAATACATAGAATGTGACGGCAGATAAGAACCATTCCGCCCATCTAGTCTGCCCAATTTTCTAAATCCTTTCATTAGTCCCTAGCCTTATCTTATAGTTAGGATAGCCTTATGCCTATCCCATGCATGCTTAAACTCCTTTACTGTGTTAACCTCTACCACTTCAGCTGGAAGGCTATTCCATGCATCCACTACCCTCTCAGTAAAGTAATACTTCCTGATATTATTTTTAAACCTCTGTCCCTCTAATTTAAGACTATGTCCTCTTGTTGTGGTAGTTTTTCTTCTTTTAAATATAGTCTCCTCCTTTACTGTGTTGATTCCCTTTATATATTTAAATGTTTCTATCATATCCCCCCTGTCTCGTCTTTCCTCCAAGCTATACATGTTAAGATCCTTTAACCTTTCCTGGTAAGTTTTATCCCGCAATCCATGAACCAGTTTAGTAGCCCTTCTCTGAAGGTATCAATATCCTTCTGAAGATACGGTCTCCAGTACTGTGTACAATACTCCAAGTGAGGTCTCACCAGTGTTCTGTACAATGGCATGAGTACTTCCCTCTTTCTACTGCTAATACCTCTCCCTATACAACCAAGCATTCTGCTAGCATTTCCTGCTGCTCTATTACATTGTCTGCCTACCTTTTAAGTCATCAGAAATAATCACCCCTAAATCCCTTTCCTCATATGTTGAGGTTAGGACTCTATCAAATATTCTGTACTCTGCCCTTGGGTTTTTACGTCCAAGATGCATTATCTTGCACTTATCCACATAAAATGTCAGTTGCCACAATTCTGACCATTTTTCTAGTTTACCTAAATCATTTGTCATTTGGCTTATCCCTCCTGGAACATCAACAGGAAAGAGAAAGAGGACATGGGTCCAATTCTAAATAATTTAATTGCCCAGTGGAAAAACTGGGAAAAAAAGACTTAAATTGATAGATAAAATTATTGATGATTTACCTTTTAATATTTTGGCTGCTAATATTGAGGATCTTAATATTAAACCATGGAAGAGTAAAGGTATTAACAGAATAGACCAAATTACCCAACATCATCAGATTAGGCCTTTTGAAGATATTAGACAAATGTTCTCTATTCCTTATAAAGAAAATTTTTCATATCTGAGGATAAAGCACTTCTTAACGGAACATAGTGTAATGGATATATCAGAGGTTTTAGAACATTTTATAAATCTGTTGAACAATAAAAGTAATAAAACATTTTTTTTCAAAATGTGCCAAATTATATAACAACTATAAATTAATCCCGGAGTTTCCAGTTTTAAAATCATGGGAAAAAGAATTACAAATTAACATTACAAG